AACGTGGTATTATTTATGCGGATTCTAATAAATCATTTCCACACCAGCTACCAAACGACACCTAAGGTGGTCATTGTGATCCCTGATGGTTACGGAAATTCTTGCCATCTGTTGTTGTATTTCTTTTTCTTCCCAGTTTTGGATATTCATCAATAGTCTTAATTTCATTTAGCAGTAAATATTCATAACACACTTATGACTTACCTACTAGTTGTTCATTTTCGTCATTTGACTTTTCCCCCCAGAATCACGATAGTAAACCAAATGACATGTTGGGCTCAAAGGCAATACAGTCTTCAAAGTTCGCTCAATGGTTTAAGGAAGAAGGTATTCATCCATTTATGGTGTTTCATTTTTTTCCTTTTTTAGTTTCTTTCTATTGAGGTTCTAACAATTCTTTTTTAACCTGTATTATCCCATTTAATATCGTTGTAGATAGGAAGACAACAGACGACTCCTCGTCAAATAGGCCAAATGATTTGCTTGCATTAATTGTTGGTGGCGATAAATCCAGATCACAAGCTTTTGATGGTAACATTTCAAAAAGCTTTCCGTCTGAATTTTTCGATCGGAGTCCCGAGCCTACAAGTAAGGTCACATTGCATATGCCTTCTGCACCACTTGGGGTCCCTGAGCTTATGCATGATTCTAGTAAAAGGGAAGCCATCCCGCCGATCCTTACTTGTGAGGACCTTGAACATAAAATGTTGTCAGAGTATAGTGAAAAGAAACCTAATCTGCAGCCTACTTCGCAAGTTTATGGTACTAATCGCTTAGACACTGTAGAACAACCGGCAAATGTGGACAGCAATGCATCTCAACACCTCCTCTCATTATTACAGAAGGGGACAGGTCTTACAAATATGAAAGGGAAGGGCAGTACTGGCACTGACGCCCAGGATGGACATGATGAGTTTACTGTGCATGGCAGATCTAAGGAGGAAACTGCCAGGGATTCTCACGCTCCAGGAAAGGCAGTTACACTTGAAACCCTCTTTGGATCTGCTTTTATGAAGGAGCTGCAATCCGTACAAGCTCCAGTTTCAATTCAGAAGAACTCAGTTGGTCCTGGACTAATTGATGATTCAGAGACACACAAGTCATCCTTGCCTGGTTTTGATGATGGCCTATTTTCTTCCATGATTGATGGTATTGGACCAAAAGGAGGTGGTAAGGATAACAGACTTTTGCCATTGAATTATAGTGATCATTCCAAGAGTGACGTTGCTGAATTTCGTCTGCCTGCAGAAAACTTATTTAGTGCTCGTGATCATTCGAATCCCCAGGTCTCAATGGTTATGCCTGCAGGGATTTTGGGTAAAGGAGAGTTGACAACTGGTAGTGTTTCTGGCGGTGACGAAAGGTCCTTGATGAGTCTAGAAGGTCTGCCTTTATCGAGCGTTCCCTATGATCAGTCTGAAATGCCATTGCATCATCGTCTTGCTCAACCATCATCTCTGCAGTTTCATCCCCTGCAAATGAGCCAAGGGAGGCCATTATTTAATCCAATGGATTCTGGTCCTGCTCATTTAAATCCTCAGATTTTCAATGGTCGAGAGAGCATGGGTTTACATGAAGCTCCTGGTCGTCAGTTTGCGGGAAATATGAATCGACCTCCATTTCACCACCCTAATGGTGGACTGACAGGGTTTGATCTCCCTGCCCACCATCCTATGCTGCAGCAGATGCAGATGGCCGGAAATAACCCTAATCTGCTACAGGACCGTCTAAGGGGCGCACAGGTTCCTTCACATCTCAGTAATCAAGCAGCTAACAATATGCAGGAAGTTAACAGAGTTCAAGCTTTCCCTTTTGTGCCTCACCAAGTCAACATTAGTGGCCGTACTGTGCAAATGCCAGGTAAAATCTTAAATGTCCCCTCTCTGCAGCTGTCTGTGATGATATTTTAGAGACTAAAACCTCAAAAAGAAGTTTCTCTTGTCTTATCATGATGAATTTAATGCATAGATTTCATATCTTCAATGTTTTCTTCTTCTTTCTAGATTACACCTCAAAATAAGGTTTCTCTTTCTGATCTTGCTGAAACTTTAAGTACAGATTTCAGCTCAACTGTGGCCTCTACTTGTTCCTTAGTTTTTCTACTATGGTAATGCAAGAAAGCACGTGCATCTTTCTTTATACTCTTCCCTGTCCCCTCGTGTATGCAGCGATTCTGCAGTTTTAAATTGCTGTGCTGGTTATGGTCACCATGCAGATTATAATGAATTTCACTAAATTTTATAATTACAGGGGGCTGCTTGGGATTCATCTTTATATAATAATCTCCTGTTTATTGTTGAGTGACGTCAGGTCAAAATAAGGATTGGACATGACCAAATGTTGAATATTCTGTTATCACCTTTAGCTTTTCCTCAAAATTGTGTAGGTTGGTAAATATATTTTTCTGAAAGCAAGTCGATGACCTTTTTATTCCCCCTTTGGTTATGAGTTTGGCCTTTGAGGCTTGGGATAGTGAAGCATACTCTTTCCCAGCCCTAGAATTCTTCTCGATGGTACATGTCAAGACTTCTGCTGTTAGATAATTAATGGACCCTGGGAAACTGGTAATACCAAAAAAGACGTGCATATCATTCATTCCAAGTATGCCCGCTGTTCTTCCTTTTATTGGTGTGATACACTGATTCTTTTCTGGTTGAGGATGCATATCCTGCTGATGTTTAACTAGCTGGGTTAAACTTTACATGAAATTTGTTATTTGTTTCACTCAGATCCAGATATCAATAGCAGAAACAATCATCCTGAGTCCATGCAAAGGCTTGCTGAGAGGCAACTTGGGGCTCCTAAGCAGATCCACCCTTTTGCTGGTGGCAATGTCCAGGGGATGTACAGTCACGAGCTTGACATGGGATTGCGATACAGATAGTTGATCAGGGAACGAGTCGGTAGCTACATTTGCAACTGGGTACCATGTTTTCTTTTCCTGGTTTGACTGAGAATCCGTTGTTACAACTTTACCATGTTGTACTGCCTTTACCATCGAACCAAAGAATTGGAAACCATGCTGGCCTTCTGCTTTTTAGCATGAGGTACAGACATGTAGACTCCTGGAAAGTTGTGTAATTTTAGATTTTATTTTCTTGTACTTGGTAGGGTTTAGGGTCTCATCTTGTCATGCATGGTTCAATTATTTGGCCTTTCATATGCCCCTTCTTCTGATGTTCCCTTGCATTTTTAATTTTTTTGGTTTCACATTTGGTGTCTGATACCCCCGAATCTAGATTCGTGCTGGGAAGTTCCATAGTGGGGGCTAAAGTACTCCATAACAAAGGCGACTTTGTATCCAGAGAGACTCGTAATCGAGACCTCTCATTAAGGATGATGGAGTACTTATCACTCCACCAAACCCTTATTGGTTCCCTTACTGATTCGTGTATAGCATCAATCTGACTATTGTAATTCTGATCTCGTATTATCCCAATATGAATATGCATGCCACACGCAAAGGTCTAATGTTTCACATGTACACAAGGTACCCTCCTTCCTATATGTCGTTTGGTAAGGACAACGCGATAAATGAGATTATTTTATTCCACCTTCTATATGGGAAGGATTAAGGAGCGATAAATGAGATTATTTTATTCCACCTTCTATATGGGAAGGATTAAGGAGGGTACCCTGTGTACATGTGAAACATTACATCTTTGCGTCGTGGCATGCATAAATATTTTGGGATAATTGAAATATTGAGATTACTTTATCCCACCTTCTATGTAGTAACAAAATATTTTAGTACAAATCATAGGATAAAACAATTTCGAGATTATTATTTTTATCCAACGCATAAAGTAATCTTCATTGTTATTTTCCGGCTCCATGAGGGGAGTTTATTCAACCCATTTCCTACTTCCTCACACTCTCTAGTGTGCTATTACGTATGAGGTCCTCCTTCTCTTCTATCATCGTATTGCCATCAGTAACTAGACATCACTTCGTTTAATCAAATTAGCAGCACGACCAATTTTTTCGATCTTCTAATATAAAGCAAAACAATTGCCTAAGCACAGAAAAAAATTCTGAACGATTATCTTGATTTTGATAATGAAATTTTATTAAATGAGGTTAAGGTGTTGGATTTTGATGAAGAATAGTAGAATACATAATCCAGACACACCTAGAGTTTAACGGCACTGTTTAAATTTCAATTAGTTGTAAAAATATTTTTGTCAAGCTAATTTTTTGTTGCTTATATTTGTGTTTTGATTTTAAAATTCGAAAAACAAAGATGTACCCCCCAAGGAAAAGATTTGCTACGAGGGATCTTTTCACCCAAACATTTTGTATTCACTTTAAGAAATTTGAATCTTCTCAAAATAAAACTAACGATAGTTTAAAATGTTTTTTTTTTAATCTGTATTGTGAAGTTACACGATGAAGTCTATTTAATTTAATTTAATTTTTTGTAACTGTGCTCTTTGCATAATTTTTAGGGGTGGACATTCGGTATTTCGGTTCGGTTAGGTTTTTTTTCTTTCGGTTTTTTCGGTTTTCGATTTTTATAAATTGCGTACCGAATACGGAACCAAAATATTTCGGTTCGGTTCGATTTTTGTTAATTCGGTTCGGTTTTTTATTTCAATTTTTTAATGGACCTGTTTAGTGGGCTTTTTAAAATTTTAAACTTTACAATTTTTTCAATTTTTTGTTTGATTTTTCAACTTAATGGACTAAAAAGTAAAAATAGACAATAAATCAAAGAAGTGCATTACTAATTTACTACCAAATTTCAATATATCAGTTATCAATGATTCAAATCTTCAATATGTCATTAGGCATTAACACCGCAAATTTTAAATTCACAATATCACTAAAACACACAATTTGAAATTCACAATGACACTAAAACAAAAGTTGCATTGTAGATTTGTAGTTAATGTCTTCACAAATACAACATAATAACAATCTAACAAGTAACAATAAAGTCTTTCATGAACTCATAATAAACAATAATAAGCAACAAACAATGTATTTTGAACTTCTTGTCTTCTTCCATGAGATTACTTTCAACAATAACAAACAACAATAATGAGTTTCTTGACTTTCTTCCATGAGATCGCTTTCAACTTTCAAGTGTCACGTGCCAACAAAATTATTTCTTCAATGTCTTGACCCTTGGACCTTTTAAGATAAAAAAACTCACCGCTTGCAAGTCAATCATAGATCAACAATGGAAGAGTTTCTTCCACTATTTGCCATCTCTATAATTAATAAAAAGAAACATGTCATACAAGATACAACACAATAAGTATTTTATTTTTTCCATAAATAAATAAAAAATAAAAAGTCTTACCAAGTTCAATTTTTTCAAGAAACTCCAAACTTTCTTCAACACAAATAGGCTTGGTTTCTTGTCTAAGCCAATCTTGGACACACATAAGACATTGCACACATTTAGGAGTCAATGAATTTCTAAAAGGGATCTAGAATTCGACCACCGGTGCTAAATGCACATTCCGATGCCACACTCGACATAAAAATAGCCAATACATCTCGAGCCAACTGTGAAAGTACTGGAAATCTAGGAGAATTAACTTTCCACCAACTCAAAATATCAAAATCTTCAGATTCAGGTTCTTGGTCTTCAAGCAGATATTTATCCAACTCAGATTTAACACCTAAACTTCTAGAATCATTCTTTTGTTTCTTCATGTGCAACTTAGTTCTCAAAGAATTTTTGGACATATTTTGAGAAATACCACTACCAGAAGAATCAGATGAGTCAGATGAAGATGGTTGGCTTTTGGAACCTTTTCCATACTTACTTACATATATCGCAAACAAATCCCTCAAGTAAGCCTCTACTTTTGTATTCACTACATTTCCCGTTTCTTCCCCAAGTAATTCTTCAAGAGCAAAACTAACATAGACAAATTTATTGCGAGGATCCAAAACAGAAGCAATAAAAATCATTTTGTTCATTTTTTCAGGAGTCCCCCAATATTTCTTGAATTTTTCTTTCATTCCCGAAGCCATTTTACTCAAATCAAGGTCATCACTTGCTACACATAATTTCAAATAAGCATCAAGTTCACATATATCTTCAAAATGAACATTACAAGTAAGATACCGTGAACCTGAAACTTTCAAAGTGAGTTCATAAAATTTTTCAAGAAACTTTGTGACATTCCTCACATTAGCCTAATCTTCATATTGAATTGACCCTGCGATACTTCCATCTTCACAAACATCAGTAGCAAGAAAAGAATTAAAATTACCATCATAAAGATCAAACCTCTCAAAAGCCTTTTCAAACTTTTCTGCTATGTCTAACATCAAATAGGTGGAATTCCACCTAGTAGGCACATCTAAAGACAACATCTTATCACATTCTATCTTTTCATTTCAACACATTTCAAGAAATTTCTTGCCCTTGAAGAAGATGATCTAACATATTTCACCATTTGTCTCACCTTTTTGATAGAAGGACCAATTTCTTTCAAACCATCTTGCACAATTAGATTAAGTATGTGAGCCATACATCTCACATGGAGATGATTACCTTCCATCAAATTAGTTCCCCACATATCTATTTTTTTGGACAACTCTAAAACTGCCACATCATTTGAAGAAGCATTATCAACCGTAACAGGAAAAACGTTATCCAACTTCCAATCAAGCAAACAATTACTAATAGACTCATCCAAATGCTCACATTTATGACTAGTGTTAGGACAAAAATTCAATATTCTTTTATGAAGCACCCAATCCCTATCAATAAAGTGAGCAGTCAAACACATATAATTATTCTTTGCACTGAAGTCCATGTGTCTGTTGTGAGACAAATTCTTGGTTGTATTTCTCTTAAAGATTGTTTCAAATTTATTCTCAATTCACCATAAACTTCATAACAATCCCTTGTTATGGTTCTACGAGAAGGAATATGAAACAAAGGCTGGACTTTACTCATAAATTTTTTAAAGCCTTCTTTTTCAACAAAACTAAAAGGTAGTTCATCCAAAATAATCATCTCAACTAAAGCTCTCCTACATACCTCTTGCTCAAATTTCCAAGTCTCTAAATTGTTATTTTGAATATTTAATAATTTTTGAATACCGGGTGCAACAGTCGGAGGTTTATACACTTTACACCGATAAGTCAAATGTTGTTTTAGTCCACTTGTTCCATTTCTTGTTGTATTGGCATCATAATATTGTTTACAATGTAAGCACTTTGCTTTAACTAATACACCATTTTCAAAAACCTTTTCAAAGTGTTGCCAAACAAGAGATCTAAGATCCATTTTTTTTTTGTTATTTCTGTACCAATCGACAAATCATTGCTATTACTAGGTGTATTATCCGTAGAATCAGCCATACTTATTCGACTTTGATCAGCTACACCCATATTTAATTCTGTTTGTTCAGCCATCTATATATATATAAAAAATCACAATAAATTCCCAATAACTAGTAATAAAAACAAAATCAGAAAAAAATTGAAAAAAATCAAAAAAGAAAAATTAAAAAAACTGAAATTACGGTTACATACCTGCACCTGGTTGCTGCCTGCTGCTATCGCGGGCGGCTGGCTGCTGACCTGCTGTCGCGGGCGGCTGGCTGCTGCTATCGCGGCTGGCGCCTGCTGCTGGTGGACGGTGGACGCCGGCTGGAGTAGAAGAGGAAGAGAGGAAAAGAAGGCAGAAGCTGCTGAGTGCTGAAGAGGAGAGGATGAGGAGTGAGGAAGAGTCAAAATGATAGGGTATTAGGGATTTATGGTTTCTTATTTTTTAAAAAAAATTTATTTAATATTAATAATTATTAAATATAATATAATTTATAAATTAAAATATAATATTTCAGTTTAAACCTAAATACCAAATTCCAAAGTAATATGTACTGAAAACCGAACCGAAATATCGAAAATACAAAAAAATAAACCGAATACCGAACCGAAAACTGAAAATTTCGGTTCGGTTCGGTGTTTCGGTTTTTCGGTGTTTATGCCAACCCCTAATAATTCTTATTTAGATAGAACTGAAATCACGCTTTTTACGTGAGTCCGGAGCCAAAAGGGTGAAAAATGTTAAGAAAAACTTCAAAATGGTATATGAAATTTCTTTTTAACCAAAACGGCACAATCGCTCACGAAGTAGCGATTTTGTCTGCCGGAAAAAGCAAAATCACTGCGATATTTGTTAAAAACAAAATCGCTCCTGATTTTCAAAATATATTTTATAATATGTCGCTGCTGAGGCAGCGACATAAGTTTAAATTCTCTTTTACTATCATTTTTTTTAAAGTTTAAATAAAAAAAATATTATTTTTTTAAATCAAATCGCTGTCAAGGCAGCGATTTTTAATTAAATTTTCAAATCAAATTGTAAAAAACTTTTTTTGATTTATTTGATTTAAAAAAATAAATTAAAAATCGCCAAGGCGGCGATTTGATTCAAAAAATAAAAAAAATTGATTTAAACTTTTTTATTTTTTTAAAAAAGAAGCAAAAATAATATAAAAGAAAAAATTCAAACTTAAGTCGCGGCTAAGGCAGCGACATATTAAAAAAAATTGAAAATCGCTCCTTTGGGAGAGTTTTTTTTTTTTTATAAAAAAAGTCAAATTTAACAAATCGCTGCTATAGCAGCGATTTTGCTTTTTTCAGCAGATAAAATCGCTATTTCGTGAGCGATTTCACTGTTTTGGTTAAAAACGCTATTTCGTGAGCGATTTCACTGTTTTGGTTAAAAAGAAATTTCATATACCGTTTTAGAATTTTTGTTAACATTTTCACCCTTTAGACTCCGAACTCCTTTTTACGTAGAGACGTTCAAAAGAAACCACACCAAATCAAGAAACAATTTGACTAGTGGTTTTGTAAAGATTTTTTCCAACATAATAAATTTAATTTAGTATTAAGCAGGGAGTGAAAAGCTTAATTAATATTAAATTTATATAAACTAGTTGTTGGAACTGTTATGTAGAATCTCATGTTTAAATATCGTCAGCCAAAATGGTTTGTGAAATTTTTTGATGGACTCATGCCTCACAAAAGAAGAAGGCCAAAGAAAGAGCTCAAAGACGACGAACTTAATGGAAGATTTAGAGGGGCCAAAATTGTGTTTGTTTAATTTTGTGGACTGATTAGCGAATTTTTCTGGTTATGTTTTTGTCTTTTTAATGTTCGGTTTGTTGTTTGTATATGTTTGACAGAAAAATAATTATATGCATGTGTACATTTTAGTATAAATGGTTATGTTAATCTGTTTCTTTTTCAACTTGATCAAAGTGATCTACACATTAGCTATGTTACTTCGACTTTTTAAAATTCGATATTGAATTCAATTTATAGATTAATATTTGCCTTCCTACTAAATCTAAATACCCAACTTGTCTATTGTTTTCTTATTCTTATTCTTTATTTGCCTTTTATGTTCCCTCATAGTGTTGTTGTATTACTTATAATCAAGTAGCAAAATAAAGAGTTGTAAAAATAATTAATTCTTTATTTGTCAAGGGTGTTCATACTTTAGGATGAAACAAAATAATGGAAAAGATTAAAGAAATCGCTAGACCTGGGCTCGAACCCAGTTATTGATCACGTCTTCAATTATTGATCATTTTTTTCCTCACTTGACTTAGTCAAGTAATAGTTTCTCTCATTGAAATTTCTTAGAAGTTTATTTGTCAGCATAATGGGACCAGTTTCACATCATCTTGCGTAATACACACTACAGAGACAATTAATGATTTCAAAATGAACACTAGGATCGGAGTATTATTTTGTTAAGTTTTTTCCGTCCTCTAACAAGTCTTGTTAAACACTACAAAATATGAAAAACAAGTTGTTAGAAGTGAGTAGTACTCATCTTGTGTTGGGTATGTAGCAAGAATTGATGGGAAATAGAGGGAAGGAGAGAAATTTAAAAAGTTGAGAACATGAAGAGTTGAGAACTTGAAAAGTCCTCTTATGTTTTAATGAAAAGGCATTTGTCCCTCGGGGTGATGGAAAGAAAAATAGGAGAGTTTAAATACATAAACACTCCTATTAATTGTTAAAAGGGTTGGAAAAAATGACCCCCTCGCGCCGTCGTCGTCGCTTGCTTCGACTTCGGCTTCGGCAAATGATCGAGAGATTATTTTTTGGACAAAGTTTGTTTTAATCATTTATTTAGTTAATTAAATGGCCAAAAATATTTTCAATTAATTAGTTGATAACAGAAGTTTTTAGTTAACCGAAATATTTTCAATTTTTTAGTTGACCCGACTCGAATCCGCACGTGACCCATTTTATTTTTTGTTTTATTTAAGTTTCCCGTTATGACTGTTCTGAGAGGTTGCAACTTTCAGGAACAGTCAATACCATTTGAAAGGTTCCAAACTTTCATTAATGGTCGTGTCAATTCTAAAAGGGTTGCATCCTTTCAGAACATATTCTTCTTGCCTATAAATACCACTCATTATTCAGAATATTTCTTAACGAATTTTTTGATCTTCGTCTTCTTCTTCTAAACACATTTTTCTTCGTGTACTTTCCTACTGTGGATTGATTCACTGACAGTAGAATTTTTGGTATCTACACTTTGCTGATTAAGATCATTTTTCCCTGGGAGGTTATATTCCAAATCAAACCTCGGATACTAGAGGGGAATAATTTCCTTAAGGGGACACTGTGAGTTCAGTGGACTTGATCTTCTTCCAAATTAAAAGGTTATTTCAGATTCTGGTACGTTTTTACAAATTTAAGTATTTTGTGAAATAAATTTCTGTTCATCTCGCTTACTGGTTCTATAAATTTCAGTTACTTCGTGTTTCTGAACACTTTATTACAATCAGTAATTTCTGGTTTTGATAACATAGTTTGAAAACAATCTTAAGGATTTTTTTTTAAATCTGTGTTTCTGGTGGATACAAAAATCTTCTTGATTTTATACTCCTTTAAGTCTGCAATTATAGTTTATTGCTTACTTAGTTTGTATCAATTTTTGTTTATCAGAAATGACAAACAATGGTGTTACAGTGGTTGTTGCTACACCAACCCCAACTCTTATACACAAGCAGAGAAACCGAGTAAATTCACAGGTGTGAATTTCAAAGGATGACAACAACGAGTATTTTTCTGGCTTACCACTCTTGGTCTGCAGAAATTTACAAGTGAAGATACTCCAGTTCATGCCGATGATATGCCAGACAGAGAAAAATTCATGATTATTGAAGCATGGAAACATGCAGACTTCCTATGTAAATGCTACATTTTGAATGCTTTAGAGGATGAATTATATAATGTCTATAGTGCAATAACAACTTTAAAAGAGTTGTTGGATGCACTTGAGAAGAAATATAAGACAGAAGATGCATGCTTGAAAAAGTTTGTGGTCGCAAAGTTTTTAGACTATAAAATGGTAGATAGTAAAACTGTTGGATCACAAGTGCAAGAACTTCAACTTATTCTCCATGATGTGATTGCTGAAGAAATGGTAGTCCATGAAGCTTTTCAAGTGGCTGCAATGATCGAGAAGTTGACTCCTTCGTGGAATGATTTCAAGAATTATCTAAAGCACAATCATAAAGAAATGAAGCTTGAAGATCTTGTGAATCGACTCAAGATTGAGGAAGATAACAAAAACTCCGAAAGGAAGTCGCGTAAGAGTTCAACAATCATTCGAGTTAATATTATTGAAGAAGCTCCTACCAAAGACAAAAAGAGAAAGAAGTCCAACGGCAGAAGTTAGAACAGGCCAAGAAGAAATTCAAAGACAACTGTTACAATTGTGGCAAGACTGGTCATAGGTCTTCTGATTGTCATGTTCCAAGAAAGGACAAAAACAAAGGCAAAGGCAAAAGTCAAGCAAACATCGTGAAGAAGATGGAAGATGCAAATGACTTGTGTGCAATGATATCGGAGTGTAACTTAGTTGGAATCCCAAGGAGTGGTTTCTCAACTCAGGTGCCACTAGACATATTTGCTCTGTGAAAGAAGCCTTTGCAACGTACACTCCTGCTGAGTACAATGAAGATTTATTCATGGGAAATACAGCAACAACAAGGATTGCAGGAACTGAAAAAGTAATGTTGAAACTGACATCCGGCAAGGTGTTGACTTTGAATAATGTTCTGCATGTCCCTACTATTAGGAAGAATTTAGTTTCTGTTGCACTACTCGTTAAGAACAGGTTTAAGTGTGTCCTAGTTAGTGATAAAATTGTAATAAGTAAGAATGAAATATTCATAGGAAAGGGCTACCTCAATGAGGGTCTTTTCAAACTAAATGTAATGGTTGTTGATAGTATTAATAAAAATTATGCTTCTGTTTACTTATTGGAGTTAAGTGATTTATGACATGCTCGTTTGGGACATGTAAATTACAAAGCCTTGTGAAAATTTGTTAATCTAGACATATCGCCTGATTTTAAATGCGATAAGTCGAAATGCAAAATTTGTGTGGAAAGTAAGTTTGTTAAACATCCTTACAAGTCTGTTCAAAGAAATTCTAAAACTTTAGACTTGATTTACACATATATATGCGATATGAAGTCAACACCATCTCGTGATGGAAAAAAATATTTTTTAAACTTTTATTGATGACTGCAATCGATTTTGTTATGTATATTTGCTTAAAAGTAAGGATGAAGCAATTGATGCATTTAAGAAATACAAAAATGAAGTGGAGAACCAATTGAATCTAAAGATAAAAATAATTCAGAGTGATAGGGTTGGAAATATGAATCTCCTTTTGCAAAGATATGTTTGGAATATGGTATTATTCACAATCTACTGCACCTTATACACCACAGTCAAATGATTTGGTAGAACGGAAGAACAGAAACATTAACGGAAATGATAAATGCCTTAATGATCAATTTTGGTTCACCACGAAATATTTGGGGGGAAGCCATCCTTACAGCTAATAAAATACTCAATAGAGTAACCCATCGAAAAAACACAATCAATTCCATACGAGTTTTGAAAAGGAAGAAAACTCAACTTGAAATATTTCAAAGTGTGGGGGTGTTTAGCCAAAGTAGAGGTTTCTTTACCGAAAAGGGTTAAAATTGGACCCAAAAATAATAGATGATGTCTTTATTGGGTATGTTGTGAACAATAAAGCCTGTCGATTTTTGGTTCACAAATCTAATAATCCTGAGATTCATGTTAATACGATAATTGAATCAGATTGCAGAGTTTTTTTTAAAACATTTATCCGTATAAAACTAAAAGTGGGTCAACAAGTGAAAGACCTAAACGACCACGAGAAGAATCAATGAAAAGTATTCTAATTAGTGAGGAACCTAGGCGTAGGACTCGGCAACGAAAATCTGCTTCTTTGGGACCAGATTTTGTAGTACTATTGCTTGAAAATGAGCCTCAAACATTTAAAACAACTATGTTTTCGTCAGAGTCAACATATTGGAAAGAAGCAATCAACAGTGAGATTGAATCAATTTTAAGCAATCATACTTGGGAATTGACTGATCTTCCTCCAGGAAATAAACCTTTAGGATCAAAGTGGATCTTTAAAAGGAAAATGAAACCTGATGGGACTATTGACAAATGTAAGGCTAGACTGGTAGTCAAAGGTTACAGACAAAAGGAAGGTCTGGACTACTTTGACACATACTCTCCAGTAACAAGGATAACATCAATTAGGATGTTAATAGCACTAGCAGTAGTGCATGATCTTAAAATCCACAAAATGGATGTAAAGACAACTTTCTTAAATGGAGAGTTGGAGGAAGAAATTTACATGGAACAACCTGAAGGGTTTATTGTAATGACCTGTTTAGTCGTTTTGAGCAGCAGATTTTATTTCTGAAAAAACTGGCTGAGACGACGGATCCCACGACGGACCGTCGAGGGGGTCTCGTTCCAAAACACTTTGAATTCTGAAATTTGGGTACTGAAATTGACTCTCTGAACTTTGCAACGAAATGGCAGGACGGACCGTCACAGGCATGACGGACCGTCACAGGCCCTTCAGTAAATTTCAGTCTCTGAACTCTATGACGAATCAGCAGGACGGACCGTCGCAGGCATGACGGTCCATCACAGACTGCGTAATCCAGGCTGGGTCGGATTTCTGTTAAATGTTTTAAGGGGCGTTTTGGACTATTCCTGCTTATAATTATAAAGTTAGTGGTTGAATATTAATAATCCAATTTCTTGAGGGTTAAAAGAGATAACCTTAAATTAATTAGTGGGTTACTTTTGTCATCTTTTATACTTAATTATATGCTAATTAGGGTAAAAGAAAAAGGGTTTGAATAAGAAAAATAGAAAGAACAGAGAGAGAAAGGGAGAAGAACGATCGAGAGAGAGGAGAGACGAAGAGAAAAACAAAGCTTTGGGGAATTTGCTTGCTTGATCACTAATCTTCGGTGGAGGTAGGTTATGGTTTTTATGCTATTCGTAGTAAACTCTTAATAGCGAATGATATGTATTGTGTAGTGTTGTAAACCCTTCTATATGCTTAATTGTATGCTTGCATGGATGTGATGATATAGTTATGATGAAATAAGCATGATGAAGCTATTGAATCCTAAATCATGAAACCTCTTGTTAATGATGATGCTTTGGTATAAAAGAAGGCTTGATGAACTAAAAGAATGAGGTTAGGGGATCGGGTGTCACGAACCGACACGTAGTAATAGGGGGATCGGGTGTCACGAACCGACACGTAGTAATAGGGGGATCGGGTGTCACGAACCGACACGTAGTAATAGGGGGATTGGGTGTCACGAACCGACATGTAGTAATAGGGGGATCAGGTGTCACGAACCGACACGTAGTAATAGGGGGATCGGTTATCACGAACCGACACGTAGTAATAGGGGGATCGAGTGTCACGAACCGACACGTAGTAGTAGGGGGATCGGGTGTCACGAACCGACACGTAGTACTAGGGGATCGGAGTGTCACGTTCCGACACAAGAGGAATAAAGAGAGTGAATCTTGAATTATGGTAATATACTCAGATTTAATGAACCTATTTCCCAAAGGAGTATGGTATGGAGGCTTGCGTCCTCATGGGTGTACTTGGCGTACTTATTAATGATTATAGTACTTGTTGTTGCTACTTGTTGAGTATTGTAGTTGATTTTAAGATATTATCTGATATATACTGTTTTCTATTTTGAGTTGGTCGATGATACCTACTCAGTACCTGTGTTTTGTACTGACCCCTACTTGTATGTTTTCTTTTTATTATTTGTGGAGTGCAGCAAACGTATCGTCGTCTTCAATTCAACCGCAACTCTAGCCAGTCTTCATCACGTCAGATTTTTGGGTGAGCTAAAGCTTCTAGCTTGGACTGGATCTTCTTCTTCATGTCTTGATGCCTTGAAGTTCTGGCATGGACTATCGTTTTAGTTATTTTAGTTTCGTAGATACTCTTAGACTTAGTAATTTGAGGATAGATGTTCTTGTGATGATGACTTCCAGATTTTGGGGATAATGATAAGTATTTTGAGTTTTAGAAGTTGGTTATTGATTTCGTTAATGAGTTTTAAGTCTTCCGCATTATTTTCTGTTTATCATAGTTGAAATGTTGGGGTTTAGATTGGTTGGTTCGCTCACATAGTAAGATAAGTGTGGGTGCCACTCGCGGCCCGTTTTGGGTCGTGACAAACTTGGTATCAAAGCATTGGGTTCGTTGGTCTCATCACACAAGAACGAGTCTTGTAGAGTCTTAAGGAACGGTAGGGGGACACCTTTACTTTTCTTTGAGAGGCTATAAGACTTTAGGAAAATTCCATTCTTTCTTTCTTTCGTGCTATTACTTGGATCCAATTGGTATCTAGGTGATACAAATTGGTATGTGACCATCTTCACTCTATTTAGCAGATGGTTAGAACTAGAGTAACAACTACGCCAACACCAGCACCGGCAGGACAGGGTGCGTCTGAGCCAGCCACTGGGGCTGTAGCTCGAAGAAGAGCAGTGGCAAGAGGCCGTGGAAGAGGTCGTAGGAGGACGTCCTCTAGATGAAGAGGACAAGCATCTAGCCCATCTGGTACTAGGGCGGTGACTCCTCCACCGATTGAGGAAGTGGTAAGAGAGGGGGAGGAAGGGGAAAATGAGCAAGTGCAGAATGAGGAATTACCACCCCAACCCACCCCAGAGATGATTTACCAGGTTCTTGCCTATCTTAGCGGGTTATCTGATCAAGGCCAGACACCTCTAGTGTTTTCTGCACCAGCACCTCAGGTTCCGAAGGTACAACATGCAGCTACTGTGGCTCCCCGCATGGATGCCTCATTGGAAATAGGCACATTTCCTCGGTTGACTACAAGGCCTATAATGACAAGTGATCAGCATGAACTTTTCAGTAAGTTCTTGAAATTGAAACCCCCAGTCTTCAAGGGTGCTGAATCTGAGGATGCCTATAATTTTCTGGTTGATTGTCATGAGCTACTACACAAGATGGGTATAGTAGAACGATTTGGCGTTGAGTTTGTGACTTATCAGTTTTAAGAGAACGCCAAAATGTGGTGGCAGTCACATGTTGAGTGTCAACCAACAGAGGCACCACCCATGACTTGGGCATCATTCTCTAGCTTGTTTATGGAGAAGTATATACCCCGTACTTTGAGGGACAAGAGGAGAGATGATTTCTTGAGCCTAGAGCAAGGTAGGATGTCGGTTACTAAGTATGAGGCTAAGTTTCGTGCATTATCCAGGTATGCCACCCAGCTTTGTTTCAGTCCACAAGAGCGGATTCAGCGTTTTGTGAAGGGGTTGAGGTCAGATTTGCGGATTTCAGCCTTACAGGTAGCGGCTACAGTGAAATCCTTTCAGGAAGTGGTAGACTTCGTGATAAAGGTGGAGGGAGTGAAGCCATATGACTTCACCTTGGCATCGACATCTAAAAGGTTTCGTAAGGGAGGTGAGTTTAATGGTTCTTACTCCAGAGGGCAGGGTTCAGGAGGTTACCCAGCCCGACCTATCCAGTCTTCACTACAGACTGTAGTTTGGGGTCCACCACAGACCGGCCAATATTTCTCGGAGTTTGGTGGTTATCCCCAGACTTCGTCACTCTCACAGGGACCTATGCTTGAATCCAGAGAATGTTATGGATGTGGAGAGACTGGACATATTAGGAGGAATTGTCCAAAACCGAGTTACAGAACCCCAATAATCAGAGGTAGATGTGGTCATGGAAGAGGCCGTTATTCGGGAGGACGTGGTGGCCGAGGTAATGGTGGTTACCAAAACGGCCGGGTTAACGGGCAAACTGGAGCCACTACAGCACAATATGGTAGGGGCAACGGACAGACAGGCGATAGGGCTGTTATGCTTTCCCTAGGAGATCTGAAGCGGAGACATCTGATGCTGTCATCACAGGTAATCTTTTGGTTTGTGATTACATGGCTTCTGTATTGTTTGATCCTGGATCCACATTTCCTTATGTATCTTCCTCATTTGCTAATGGTCTTAATTTACATTGTGAATTGCTTGACATGCCTATTCGTGTTTCTACTCCGGTGGGTGAATCTGTGATAGTTGAAAAGGTGTATAGGTCTTGTCTTGTGACTTTTGTGGGGAGTAATACTCATGTAGACTTGGTTATCTTAGAAATGGTTGACTTCGATGTAATTCTGGGTATGACTTGGCTTTCTCCAAATTTTGCAATCTTGGATTGTAATGCTAAAACTGTGACACTAGCCAAGCCTGGGACAGATCCTTTAGTGTGGGAGGGTGACTACACTTCCAATCCGGTTCGTATCGTCTCCTTTCTGCGTGCTAAGAGAATGGTTAGTAAGGGCTGTTTAGCTTTCTTGGCACACCTCAGGGATGATACTACCCAAGTACCTTCAATCGAGTCGGTTGCGATAGTCCGCGAGTTTTTAGATGTGTCTCCTGCAGACCTTCCTGGTATGCCACCGGATAGAGATATTGA